TCTCGAAAAATAATTGGCTAGTGCAATAAAAAAGTCACATGACCGGAAAATTTTTTGTGGGTGAGCTACTAACGTCTGAAAACCTAACAGTGCGCATTTTTATTAAAAATACGTATATCAATATCAATATTACTGTATTCAATTATGCCGAAATCAATAACTTACCGGCAAATTTTTTTCAGGTGTTTCAGAAGTTATGATAATATGTACTGTATGTAGCTGTAAAACTTTTGAGATTTTTTGTAACTGCCGGTGACAAATAAATTCAAATAATTTAGACAATTATGATCATTACGCAAAATTTATATATTCTATTTTTATAATAAACAATGTGTAATCATAGATATAACTTATGCATGCAAAAAAATATAAATACGTATTCTATTTGTTTAATTCGCTTACTTTTCAATTTTTTCAACTCGTATAATGTCAAAACAATACGCGCCAAGTAGAAAATATTGAAATAATGAAAATGAACATGTAGTTATTTTTTTTTAGTAGTATTTAGACCTTTTAGGTTGCCTTTTGTGAGGTTGCTCAACTTTGGATCAGCTAAAACAAATGTTGGTGGCTCAATCCCACCTTTTAGCAAAAAAAAAATGTTGGTGGCTAATTTACCTTTTAGTGAAAAATAAAAATGTTGATAAGGTCTATAATTCCGAAAAAGGATTGTTATGTGCCTATCAAGTTTCTTTATATTACTAATAAAATATTTTATTTTATACTATAGTGATCCGCTATCGATAAAGTTACAAAACTCAAAACGATGCCAATACAAGGAAAGGGTCTGATTCTATTAAGACTTCTGAACAATGTATTTTGTAGAAGACTATTAATATTTTTTGTCGAATATCCATGCGCTCGGTAAAGTTATATTTTCGCCTATGAGAAACTCAAGATTTCTGAAGAGAATTTAGGGGAAATCGAAATAATTATTTTGAATTCTCCTCCAAGTGATGATGATAAAAAAAAAATTTATGGAAACTGATGAGGATGAGTCAATAGCTTTTTCTAAGGATTACATTAAATATTTCCCTAAATATCTGTCGAAATTTTTTGCCGTCTAAAATTTGCTTGTATAATTAGTCCTTATTAACAACAAATATAATATCTTTACTTTTAAAAGATATCTGATCCAAATTTCCAAAGAATTGTATTAGCGTAAATTCTTATTATACAGAAATGCAATATCTCACAGGATTTTTCCCAGAGGAACATGCCCGTATTAACAATAAGAATGTTGTCTACCTACTTATACGATCATGGAACCACAACGTTAAAACCCACAAACCCAGAATTAAATGATATAGATAGATAGATAAACTTTAAATAAAAAATATGCAACTTTTTTATATTAGAATATTAAATTCATCAATCGAAATATCAATATTGGGGTAATTCAGAGTTAAGAATCAGGTTTTCAAATTAAATTAGTTATGCATTTATTTCGAAATTAGCAGTTCATAAATATTCATTTTGATTTGTAAGCTTATTTATATAATAACTTTTATGATCGTGAATTTTCTTTCAAGACTTGATATATTTAAAATGCCTTATATTTCTGATTGACAAATTAAAAACATAAATAATATTTTTAGAAGTATTAATAGAAGAATATTCTAATAGTACTCATAAAAATATAGCTAATATTAAAGAAAAAGAAACCAAACAATTGAATTAGATCGATATCTTACTATTCATTAAAAAACTATCAAGTTTAATTAACTTATTACGATAATATTATATGATAGCAACAAATCATTAAAAATTATCTCCGGATAACTCCTATTTCTTTTTCTGATTTCAAGATTTCAAACCAGAAATAGGACATCACTTATTTTTGAAAAATGTTAATTATTAATCACTCCATTACTGGTAATATCTAAATCGACTCAGTTATCAAAACTATGTTATTAAGATAGGATCGAATATAATGCTGATTAATGCAGATATTCACATTACACCGTTATTGATATAATCGATATAATTTATAACAAACGATAGATATATTTATTATTGAAATTATCGGTTTTAAAGTGATTCATCTCATTAAAGAGCAAAGAATTTCCTAGAAATTTTCACATTGTAGTATAGAGCCAGAAAAAAATTTACGCTCAAAGACTTTTTGTTAATATGTAAGTTTGAGAATTCGATTCATATAATATAGAAATTTTATTAAAAATTTTTGTGCAATAAGTACAAACAAAAACTTTACCTGGATTTTTTATAGTTAGTTCTTACGAAGTGTTTACGCTCAAAATTCTGAAATTAGAAAAGTAGCTCAGTATTCGTTATATAATTAAAGTAAAAACGACCATTATCTACTATAACAAGATTAATTATTTGCTACTATTTATGGCTGTGTTTGTCCATGTGCGAATTTTTTTAAATAGCTTAACTAGTGTTAAATTTCGAAAAAAAAGATATAAATTTTTATTGGACATAGTCAAAATGTTAACACTGTCCCTATTTATATAATTCCTTTGTTATATAGTTAACTAAACCATTTCGGTTAACTAGTTCGACGATGATCGTTACCAAATTATAGAACTAGTTTAGGATATAAATAACTAAAATTTTTAATACAGTACGTATATTTTTAAATAATTTAAATGATATAATTTATCCTATAAATACTTAAAAAAAATATTTAACAAAAGAATAAAAAACAAACATTCGTTAAAGATCATTTGGAATTCCTGTACCATAAGATTTACTACCATTTAGGTTTGATAATCTTTCAGTAATTTTCAAAGTGTTAAATGGTTTCCTAGTGTATATATTTTTCAGCTCTTCTTTAATTACTGTAAAATTTTTGTTAATCTTATCACTTTCTAAAAACTGCTTTTTAATTTCGTTTTTATTCAAAATTTTCAACCGTTTAAGCTTATTTTTATTCAAAATTTTCAACCAATCCTTTAATTTAGTAATAATTTTATTAGTAGTTGGCCGTTTTTCTGGATTTGAATCCATGCATTGATTTGCTAATTCAATATAACAATTAGGTGTTCCAAGTGCAAACTTTGGTCGTAATCCATTATATATCTTAATTACAAGTTCGATATCAAATTTATAACCATCAAAAGGTCTCTGACCAGTTGTTATTTCTGCCATGATAATTCCAAATGAATAAATATCTGCTGCTTGAGTGTACTTTCCTTTTCTTTGAAATAGTTCAGGAGCGATGTAAGGCAAGACACCATGAATATGTTTTTCATGTTCTTTCTCATCAAGTGGTTTTGATAAACCTAGATCGGTAATATATGCTGAGTAATCATCTTTTAACAAGATATTTCCCGGATGTAAATCTCGATGTAAATATCTTTTAGCATGAATACGATCAAGATTAGATATAATATCATGAAGTATCTTTAATTTACTTTTCCATTCAAACTTAAAGGTATCGGAAAGATTTTTGCTTAATGATCCATGTTTTGCATAACTCGTTACTAAAATATAATCTTCCGTTTTTTCATCTCTTGATATTCCTAGATATTGTCCTAAGCTATGACAAGCTTTTAACTAAAAAAACAAAAATTATTTTGTTTAAATTATTTAAATAAAAATAAAGAATATATGGTTATTGACGACTATACTATTTTCTCATATTCGTATATTTATGTCATCAATTTAAACTTTTTTTTTTAGAATGAGGCCACTGTTAAATTTAATCTACAAAAAAAAAACGATGTCATAAAATACAAAAATAAGAGAATTTTTAGAGCAGTCGTCAATAGTGATGCCTGACGAAACCACGTGATGCTAATTGTCACGTGCTATTGCTTATAAAAAATCAAAATAGATTGTTGATTTTTATATATTGTACCATGTGACAATTAGCATCACATGGATTCGTCAGGCATCACTAGTCGTCAAAAAATGGCTGCATAATAATAAAAATACCTCATTTAAGAATGGAACTTTATTCTTATTAGAATCTTTTACGATCTTAATTACTACTTCTTCATATTCCCCATATTGATTTAAATATTTGGTTCTAAAAACAGTTGAAAATGCTCCTTTACCTATTTCTACGATATTTTGGAATTTTGAATATGCCATCCAATGAAAAAATTCTTTCTTTCCTTTTATAGTAGTAATAGCTTTTTCAGTGATAGCAGATTTTAAATACCATTCGAAAGCAATATCTATATCCTTTTCAACAACTTCTCCTT